GCTATCTTAATTTCTAATTTGAACTTTACAATAATATTTCTGTAGATTATCGGAAAAAAAAATCTCGATAAAGTTTTCCTACATTTCTTCTGTATCAGTATATACGAACCAAGAATAACTAGAATAAAAGTTGATTTTATGAGCATAATGCAAGGTCTATAATTGATCTTACTGTCGAGCAGTGATCAGAAAGTTTTTCACCAATTAAATTACAAAAGCAAATCGATTAAACCTCTACATCCACTCATACTTTAGACTTCATTGAGTCTCTTGATTTTTTTTTAGTTTTATGCAAGCAAATTAAAAAATCAGTTGATTATGGCAGAAAACGCTGGTTTGGGCAACAGTAACACAAAGGTAAGAAAACTCTTCGACATGGATAACTCAAGGTTTAACAAAAATTTGTCTGAGTATCCAATTTCCGTATAAGAGATGTTAAACCTGGGCTAACTGTAAAAGCTAACCTATGAAAGGGACATATTTATATTGCAAGCTGGTATCAAAAATTATTAAATTGGAAAGTATTTGATAGGATTATCTGACTTATATTTTAATGGCTTCTTTCTCTTCAGAATTATCCATGTGTTATTGATAATATCAGCACATTGGTCACAATAATTGTCTTGCTTATTAGGCATTTCTGAGAGATATGAACGATAGTTGAATTATTTTTCCATAGAAGGGAATGTCTGGAGTTTTGACATTAGGAACTTTACGAAAAGAAAACTAGCCATAAAGCATTTTTGTGTCCAGAAGAGTAATAAAAATTATAGTAAGTGCCATACCTATCTGGATACGCTAATACAAACAGCTTCAAATTGTTCTCCTTATTCAATATGAGCAAGAGAATTATCCAACCAGTGAATTCACCTCCGGTGTCAAGTGTCCACATGTCATCTAAATAATTAAATTCAGAATTGATTTTAAACTTTTATTTGTATATTAAGAATGAAGAAAATAATGGTGATGATTCAGGACAGAATAAAGTGCGTTCAACAAATCAATGTACCCACGATTCAAACTCAGGCAATAACCAAGAAAACAAACATGCATTCACTATGCAGCGCAACAATATAGAAAAATCCGACTCTTGCGATATGAACCGAATATCCCAGGGTTTCAAAACTAACGAGGTGATAGTGAACGATTCCGAAATTTTTCGAAATAATCCGTGTTTCATCGATAATTTGTAGAACGAGCAATTAGTATTTGAGAACGATCAAAACAACGAATCAACATCCGAAAACATTCAGTACAACAGATCAAGGTCCATGGGTTACGAAACTCATCAACAAAAGCCTCCGAATATTCAAACGAGCAAGTCAGTGTCAATGGATCCTCAAAACAATGAGATGCCTAGGAACTCTGAGAACAACGAATCGATCTTCAATGATTTGCGAAAGAATGAACCAATGACAGAAGATACCATTAACAAGAATTTCAAGAATGATACATCCAAATTCGAAGAATCTGAAGAAA